CCATGCCTTCCCCCCCCCCCAAGGTGGCAATGCACCTTAAACAAACTTGTCTAGTAACACCTCATGACATCCATTCCGCCGTAGAAATTTTGATTGCAAAATATGAAAGTTTGTTTGAGACAGTTAGAGACGTGCTGAAGTCAACTTTAATGCAGAGCTACATTTATGGAAAATGGGATGGAAACACAGCAAAGAATCGGAAATTCCGAGCGATGATCTAAATGCTCTCATACAATGTGATGAAATGGTGTATCCAATCATTAATAAAATTTTAAAAATATTGTGTACTCTTCCAGTAAGTGTTGCATCTGCAGAGGAGTTTTTCAGGACTGAGAAGACTTAAGAGTTGGCTGAGGGCCAATATGAGTGAAGAACGGTAGTAGTATAGCAGACGGGGTTCAAACCCACTTTGGTAACCTGTCCATCAGGGTCTCAGATGCTGAGGACGATACAAGCCTTCTTTGACCTTGGGGGTGTACAAGAAGTACAAGAAGTGATCGTCAATGACCAGAGGGTTGTAAGAATTGGTAGCTTATCTCTAGATCTCTTCTTCTCAGCCGAAGAAGTGTCACCTGTATATTTTTCACCTGTCTGACCTGTCTCTTCTTTGTCTTACCTGTCCTAAAGAAGTAAAAGAAGCGGTCTACAATGACAGTAGACCACCTTGTATGTGAAGTGTAAAACTCATCGCTAATCTTTAGATCTCCTCTTCTTTTCGATAAATTTGTACAGGGTGATCTAATTTGTACTGAGAGATTGTCTAAGTGTTGGTGAGTCTCAAAAAATAAATTGTTTGTGTACAGACTTGTGTAGACGTATCGGTCTAGCCTAGCCTAGCCTATTCAATTGCGTTTGTACTCTTAAAACTTGTAGAAATTGTAATCCTAGAGGTTCCATATAGGTATACATATATTTCGAAGTCTTGTAATAACATCTTGGATTACTTTATCTCTACATGTTTACATATATGTGTTTTTAGAAATATAACTACTGATAAGATGTATTATTTGAAAAAATCCACCAAAATTTGAATAAATGTAGCCACAAATTTTGGTAGTCAGTATTCAAGATGTGTCTTGAGGTGTACATGCTAAAGCTAGACGATTTCTATTCAAGGCTCTCAACTTTTAACAACTGGAAGGGGAAGAAATCTGAAATAGAGTTAGCTGCCTGCGGATTCTACTTTCTCCATGTGGATGATATAGTAAAGTGTTTCAAGTGTGGTGTAGAGATTTACAAATGGGAAATAAATGATAATGTAATAGAAGATCATAAAAAATATAGTCCTGATTGTGCCTTTGTACAAAGAGTTTATCCTATTTTTCTGAGAATCAACAACAACAAGAAAGAAAGTGTGAGTGAGAAAAATAAATATGCCTGCTCCTGTGAAACATAAATGTCCAAAGTGTGGTGGTGACACTGAAGAACGAAATGACTTGTGTATAAATTGTGAATTGGAAGAGGTGTACAAGGAAGAGAGTGGTGCTAAAAATATACCAAGTAGAATGTATGTAAAGAGGCAGAGACCACAAAAATAATGTAATTGTATTAAAAATATATATAAAGTAGCTGTAAATATATCATAAAGTTCATTTATACTTTTCCCTTTGAATATGCCTGTACCTGTGAAAGATAAATGTCCAAAGTGTGGTGGTGAAACTGACACTCCAAATACACTCTGTGCAAATTGTTACCTAAAAAGTATATTTCGACAATTTGGTGGAGACAAAAATAACCCAAGTCATCTATTTTTCCAAAAATAAGTATGCCTGTACCAATAAAGTATAAATGTCCAAAGTGTGGTGGGGAGACTGAAATACCTAATAGAAATTGTATAAACTGTGAATACATTGAATATTTGAAATCCAGATCTGGTGCTAAAAATATACCAAGTAGTATGTTTGGTGAAATGTGAGGTCAGTTGTCTGAGGAGAAAAATATATAAAGACTTATATATAGAATAAGTATTTATTACTTTGTATACAGTGTACGAGTACGTTATCAATATGTTAAACGCTGCCATTAATAAATTACCGTTTGAAATGCACATCCCTGGAGGTTATAGATTTTGTGGACCCGGTACCAAATTACAGAAACGGCTAGCACGAGGAGATAGGGGAATAAATGGATTAGATGAGGCGTGTCGTGAACATGATATTGCATATTCTCAAAATAAAGATCTATCTGAACGACATAAGGCTGATAAGATTCTAGCTGAAAAAGCTTTTGAACAGTTTCGATCAAAAAACACAGCATTTTCAGAAAAGTTGGCAGCACTTGGTGTAGCTGGTGCAATGAAAGCAAAAGTGAAATTAGGTATGGGTCTAGATTCTACTAATTATAAAGCTGTAACAAACAGTTGTAGTAAAGAAATGAACAAAGCTAAAAATAATTTAGACAAACTAAATGAAAATATAGACCACTGTACTTTATTACTCCAAGGATTATCTATATCCAAATCAAAAAAACGCAAACAAAATGTAAAAAATAAACAAAAAATACAACAAAAGCTTTTAAATCATAAAAGGGCAAAACAATTAGAACATAATATGGATGTGGATATTACTGATGATTTTGTTGTTGATAATGATGACCGTCTATCCAAAAGAAGAGAAAAACGAAAAATAATTGATGACAATTTAGTTGATGTAAAAAAAACAAAAATCAACTTAAATGACTCATTAAACAAAAATACTCAAAAAAGAAAACGGACCAATGAAGATGAGGATGATGATTATCCAGATAAGAAAAAAGTTAAGATATAAATAAATTGTATTAAATTAAAAAATATAATAAAAAAACATGTATATTCTTGTTTCTTTATCTATGTCAGACTAATCTAGGGTTAATCTTTGCCACAAAACAAGGTGTTTTTTATTGTGATAACTATATATATATATATATATATATATATATATATATATATATATATATATATATAGTACACACATACACCAATAACTAAGTCAGTCTGATCTGTGACGTTGTTAATGAACCATCAGTAAAAGTAAACATAGTGAAATGGGAGTTAAGAGTGGTGTTGTTGAATTCCATAATAAGCAAAGAGAAAATGCCAGGACAAGACTCTTCACGAGAGAATTCAGTAGGTATCGACAAAGAGATGAGGGCTTTCAAGCAGAACAACTAGGGAGGCTTCACCATATAGAGCCCCATAGAGATGCTGATTACCCAGTGAGAAGGAGACAGCAGCTACCATTTCCAATCGAAGACATTAGAAGACAGTAATTTTAAAATTGTTTATGTTATTAATTATTAATAAATGTTGTATATTCTACTGATGTGTTATTTAATTAGATAAAAGACTTGTTGTTGTGTGTATTGTGTGTAGTTGATTAAAAGCAATCAAGATGGTTGGTAATAAGAAAAAGACAAGAAAGACCACCAAAACAAAGGTTACTTCATCCTCCTCTAAAACAAAAGGTTCCAAAAAAAAATTTCAAAGCAAAAGTCTTTTAGTTTACAGAGAGTAATTAGAGACATTAGGAAGAAACTGTTGGAAATCAAACCGAAAACTTTAAAGGAAGCTATTCAACAAGCATTACGAATCGTTAAGTATTACAAGAAAATTAAAAAACCACGTGGTCGAGTAATCCAAGTTCCAAAAACTGGGGGTATATTACCCCTAATACCATATTTGCAGGGTTGAGTGCCCTCGGGACAATCGCGGGGGGTACCTCAGCCATCGTAAAGACGATTAACGAGGCAAAAGCAGCTAAAGAAGATTTACTCGAAAAACAACGTCATAATCGAAAAATGGAAGCATTAGCAATTGGACATGGTTTGTACTTGAAACCATACAAAAGAGGAATGGGTATTTTTTTATGAATGAGAAAATGGATGAAATAAAGATTCCAAAACATGCCTTGACAAATGTAGATTTACAAAAATATGCAAAATTATTGAAAATCCCCCATTTTAGAGCTGTATTTATGAGAAATAATTTTCCAAAAAAAATTTGGCAATATGAGAGTGGTATTATTAATTTAGACAATAAAGAAGGACCCGGAACTCATTGGACAGCCTACAAGAAGAATAAATCCAAAGTTGTGTACTTTGATAGTTTTGGTAATCTGAGACCACCGTTAGAAGCTATATCATACTTTAATTCAAATGGTTATTGTCAAATTGTATATAATCATAAAATTTATCAAACTTATAACACTGTAAATTGTGGACAATTGTGTTTAGATTTTTTAAATAAATAGTTCGTTTAAAATATTTGTTTTTTATTTACTTTCTGGTTATTGCATGATCAACATGTCGTACACTTTTGTGTTATCTGGAAGAGAATCAGTGTTATCAACCAAAATATATCCTCCAATTATTTTAAATGAAAATGAACAGTATGTACTAGGTTTAATAGATTTTATGTCATACAATACAATTCCAAATGTAGACCAAACAAACAACAAGTTTCATATAGATGGTTACGATATCACAATTCCAGAAGGTTCGTATGAAGTTGAAGATCTTTCAAATTATTTAACTGAAAAAATAACCGAGTTGGAATTAAAATTAGATCGAACACCTGAAAAAGATGAGACAGACATTGATAAAAATACAAAAGGAGAGAAGCAAAATTTAGTTACTCAAGGAGGAAACGCAAAAGCTAGAAAACAGCATAATATGGATCAACCTACAAGTCTAATAATGAGAATTAATAACAATACACTCAAATGTGAAATAAAAAGCAACAAAGTAATCCATTTTGAAAAACCAAATACCATTGCTCCCTTATTAGGCTTTACATCAAAACGACTCTCACCTCTAAAGACTCACGTAGCTGAAAATCCTGTGCATATCACAAAGGTTAATTCAATTTGTGTGGAATGTAATCTAATCACTAATTCATACGTCAATGAAAATCAAGGTCATATTATTCACATGTTTTATCCAAATGTATTACCAGGTTACAAAATTGTTGAAATTCCAAAAAAAGTAATTTATTTACCTGTCACCAATAGATATATTGATGAAATTTTCATTAAAATAGTCGACCAGGATGGTAATCTTGTCAATTTCACACGAGAAGTTATTACGTTAAGACTACATTTAAAAAAAGTATAAATAATGGTTGTTATATACAACTGTAGCAAATTTAATCCAAGTGTGGACGGTGTATATAATATTAAAAGTTTTGATAAAAACATTAGTGATAAGCAGACGCTCAAGCCGTTAACAATAGAAAACAAAGTCTTTTTAACCTCACTAGGATTTAAAATAAAACATAACGACAGTAACAAGGAAAAAGAAAAGAAATACGTGGTGTAGAATAAAGTTGTTTATTAATACTAGAATACTTGGCATTTTCCTGAGGTGTACTTGTAAGAAGAGTGAATATGAGTTTTAACATTTTAAATATTGCAGATCGTGTGTTGGTTGACAATTCAATTGTTAGTCGAGAAATGCACAGTCATTTACCCTATGCTAATGCCACTTTTAATCACTGTGATGAAATAAGATTACCAATACAAACTCAAGATATATATACACAACCTTCTGAGAGTTATTTGTATATTGAAGGACGTTTAACGAATGATGGGAAAGAAAGCAATACTTTACACTTTGTTAATAATGGTTTGATGCATTTATTTGATGAAATACGATATGAAATTGGAGGCTGTGTAATAGATAGAGTGAGAAATGTAGGTATAACAACGACAATCAAAAACTATGCTTCGTTCACACAAACTGAATCTAATCGATACAACTGTATAGGTTGGAGTATTACTGACACACCAACTGTTGCTGATAAATCAGGAAATTTTAATGTTTGCATTCCACTCAAACTTGTACTTGGGTTTTTTGAAGATTTCACCAAAATTCTAATTAACATACGCCAAGAACTCGTATTGATAAGAAGTTCAACAGATTTAAATGCAGTAATGTCGACAGTAGAAACTGAAAAACCAAAAGTGGAAATATTTAAATTAATGTGGAAAATGCCTCATATTCAAGTGTCCGATTCAGAAAAATTACGTTTATATAAATTTATTGAAAATGGATCCAATTTAGAGCTTGCATATAGAAGCTGGGAATATCATGAAATTC